CCCGTTTATCGAAGTCCTCACGCAAATGCACTTGTTACACGAGTTAAAACAACTTAAAAATCTCAGCTGTGTTATGTTTATCGCGATATCTTGATTTTTCATGCTATTGATCATGGTATAGGTTACTTTTCACACTAAAATGTTTCATATCGATCTGATGAGGATGTGCTTTCTTCAAAAGCTAGGTTTTAAAAGTCAAAACCTAATATCAAAAAATCCGAAGTTCTAGTTTCGCTAATGAAATAACGTAAAAATGGAAGTTATATTCTAAAATAAYCAAAGCAAATACAACTAAATTCACCAAAAAGAAGTTAAAATTTTGGAAGGTAATCACCACCCATTTCGAACCTGCGCCATTTCACGATATTTTCCGTGTTTGTGGCAAACTTTCGATGATTGCTTTTGTTCTATTGTTTCTTATCGCGATGAAATGGTTTCCTGGTGCTTATAAGTAAATACACCATTACTCAATTCATCGACGGCTTCTAAAATGTCACATGTCGGCTATCGTGTCACGATATCTGGACTGGTGCACCTGAAAATCACTGGTGGTGGTTCCAAATTAGCCATTTTTTAGCTTGCGTGATCAGTSCGAACGTTTGGTATAAAATGGAGACATTTCTCAAAAATTTCTGAAGAACTGATTGCTTATACCTCCTCTAAATAAATCCAGGGGGCGTTGCGGCTCACATTTTTGTGCGGTTGAGCAGTGATTTCCCATTTGAAAATGCGGTATKGTGGTATTGAAACATTCACGACGTTCGATATCCATTTTATTTCACGGTAATGAGTGAAAATAAGAATAGTTTAGTAGAATTTCCTCAAATAACCCTTAGATATGACATTATTGTTTTGTTTTTTATTCCTGTGCTGCATGGAATGAAAATGGCTGTTTTTGTTCAGTGCATTTCGCTAATTTAGTTGTTGTGTATGAAGTTTTACGGTCTTTCTGTATACCATTACGTTGTCTGCTCTGCTCCGCACTGTGCTTGATCTATACTGAAATAATATTCTTTTCTACTTTCATCCACTTGTCTTTTCGTTTCTCTCACTATTAGTTAAGGGATTTTTCATTAGTTGATACTCCAACTGTAAATTTTACTATGATTATTAAACTCTTGTTTTCTCCATTACATTTCTCAGCTATACGAAATTAGAAATATAATTTAGAAAAGTCAGAATATCGATACAACATCTACCGGAAATATTTCCATTCCTCGTGATTCCTCTTATTGCAATCGTGATTTCCGAATGTTTATCCGTTTAGCCTTCTGGGAGGTAAGAACGATGTTCATTCTTTTTTCGAGCCAATTCTATTCCTTCTACATTGGCAATGAGTCTTGGCAGAGTTCAATTTACAACTGTTCTCTTGTTGGCCAAGGTTACRTTGACATTTGAGAAGCGCTGAAAGTAGTCACGTATAATTTAGACCGCCGGGAACTTAGAGCACCGCCGTGCTCGTAAATATAGGTAAACTTGGCGCCAAAACGGACAAAAACCTTCAAAGCTATCAAAACTATTCAAATAAATAATAATTGGATGTTATAAACAACGTTTTAGTTATGACTAGAGCTTATATAAGGCATGATAAAATCACTTCTATTTGTATAGAATATCAAGTAGCGGGCATCTCTCTGTAAACGCGCACGCACGACCTGATTACCAAACAGTTTTAATTTTCGCGCACCGGGAATTAAAATGAATAGCTAAATAGTCTGTTTGTCAAAAATAGACACTCGAGTAATAATTTGTATCTTTTTCGTGAATATTTTCCATTTTGACGTGGGCTCARAGATTTTTTGGTATAATTGGACACTTTGGCGCTAGACTCCTATAGTCGACTGTCTCGACTTCTCGTCCCTGCATMCATGAAGTTTTCTACTTTTCTTGTTTCTTAGACGCAATACGTTTGATAAAACACACGATTCTAGTGGCTGTCGAACCTCACTAGACCACACAGCACGGAAAGCAGGCTTGTTTTCATTTTTCTATCAGATGTTTATAAATTTGTGGCTTTATTTTACAAATTTTATGGAGTGCTTTAGGATATCAGGACGTTAATATCTAGTTGTATCCCTTG